GATCATGCTCATGACAATTTTTTTGTTTAGTTTTTCTTCGGTGTGTATATATTAAATAAATATATAAATAAATATATACATCAGAGGGCTGCGGGAAAAAAAGGCAGGTGGTAAAAATTCGAAGAGGGAACTGCGGCAAGAGGGGCGGAACCAAAAAAAAAGTGGAACAAAAAGAAAAACAAAAAAAAACTGGTTCAACCCCCTCCAAAAGCGGTGAGGGAGGAGGAGAAGGAGGAGGAGGAGTGGTGCCTCGCACGCGGGCGGGAGTGCGGAGAGGATGTGCCGCCTGTGCGTCCCCGCCGGCAGTAGAGGGCAGGGCTGAGACCAAAAGAGAAGGAACAAAAAAAAACAAAGAAAAAACCGCCAATACCCCGCGTAGAAAAGCCAAAGAAGAAATAAACAACAAGTGGCATAGATTCACTTCCACAGGGCGCGTTGCAGCACAATACCTCGCTTCCTTTTCCTTTTTTTTTCTTTCGCTCGTTCTCTTATCCCCACTAATAAATAAACTCTTCCTTTTTTCCTTCCTATGTTTTGTTCTACTGATGTCTGTTTCTCGTGTAGAACAGGATCGCTGCATACGCTGCTTTGCTACATAATCTCCACCACTTCTCCCCAATGCGCTGCGTTTTCCTTCCTCGTCGTTTTCTTCCTTTTGATTTATGTTGCTATCGTCCGTCTTCCTTCGCTTCGCGGGATGCGACTGGTACAGCGCCGCGCCGTCGCTCAGTACGTGCGGATGAGGAAGAAGTACTCCTCCAGGGCGTCGGGCTCTTTCCGCGGGCACGTCGGGTCCGCCACGGTGGCGCCCGAGGAGAAGTACTCGTAGCGCAGCGGGTAGTCCGTGAGGGCCTTCTTCATCGTGACGCCGACCCGCGACGCCAGCGTGCGGAGGCGGTGGGGCGCCGGCAGGGGGCCGAGGAGGTGCTGCCCGGTGACGCTGGTCTTTTGCAGCATGACCGGATCCGGCAGCCGGAGCGGCGACAGCGCGTTTTGGGCGCGCGCGTAGACGTCGAGCAGCCCGTGCCTGGCGGACTCCACGCCCTCCTCGTGGCCGGCCGTCACCTCCGAGGCCTTCTTCACCTCCGCCGGGGGGAGGTCCGGCAGGTCGGCCGCCCAGCGCGTCTGCTGCGTCACGGGGGCCAGCTTAGTGAAGGCTGTCTGCACACGGTTCACCTGCGCGGCGGGGGCGTTCTCCGCGTTCGCGTCGGCGAAGCGCTCGAGCGTGGGCACGAAGAGGATGTCGTGGTACCTCAAATCGTTCGAGAGGAACGAGAGGAAGCAGCGGCACTTTTCATTCTTCGGCTCCTTCACGGAGGCCTCCACATCCATCGTGGAGTAGTGCAGGGCCTTGATGTTGACGGCGGGGATGCCGGTCACGACGTGCCGGTCGTCGCGGATGACCATCACGGAGTTGTCGAAGAGCGTCAGGTAGAGCGGCTCCTCGCAGAGGGCGACGGAGCTCCCCGGGGTCGACAGGTCCGCCCCCTTCAGCACCAGGCGGCCGTGCACGCAGGCGTAGAACACGGTGTGCTTCACGGCCCGCAGGCGGAACCACAGGTACAGGGGCGGCTCCGCCAGCGGAACGTCAATGCGGGGGTCCATCTTCGGCAGGCCCCAGAACTGCGGCGGCCGCATCCCGTCACGAATCATCACCTCACGAATCGTGGTGTAGATTTTCATGAAATCGGTCTCGTTGTCCGTGCGCATGTACCACGCGAGCATCTCCCCGCTGCCCGAGTCTTTCCCCTTCTTCGCGTCGGCAGGGGAGTGCGGGGGGAGGGGGCAGGTCACGGCGTGCCTCTCCACAGGCTGCTCCACGTGCGAGAGCACGGAGACGTCGAGGTGGCGGAAGCTCCCCTCCACCTTGAAGGAGAAGAGGTCACGCTTGTCGAAGTTCGGCGCGTCGTACTTGATGTCCACAACACTGGGCTTTGCGATAATGCGCACCACCCGCATCTGGTGCTTCCACACCACGCGGAACTCCGTCTCCTTGTCGCTGCAGTACAGCATGCTCCTCTCCGTGTCAAAGGCGATGCGGCGCAGCGTCCATGACTCGCGGTACTTGCCCTGCTTCTCCACGCACGAAAGCAGCATCATTTGCACGTTGCCTGGACTCTCCAAAGAAAAATCGGGTGTGGCGTGGGGGGGTTAAGCTTGCGTATCCGAGCTCTCCTGAACTCCCTCACACACACACACACACACACACACACGCAGAGGGCAAAGTTAGGAAGAAGGAAGAGAAAGTCAAAGTGAAACGCATGCGCCGCGGTCTCAGAAGCAAACGCGGGAAATCACCACGGCGAGGCCACATCCCTCGTGTGGGGGACTACCCCGCTTCATCCCCAACCGCCACCTCCCTCCCTCTTTCCCCCCCCCCCACACACACACGCGCGCAAAACATGCGGCCCACAAGAGTCCGCACGATACAAACGCAGGATACCTTAAACACGACCCAAAACTCAAAAAAGAAAAAAAGAAACAACAAAGAAGAATACCCCGGCGCGCAAACGCAGAGAAGGAACTACGGCGGACTCCACCGCAAGGAATGAGCAGCCTTCGTCGTTCGTCAAGGACCGCTCGAAAAAAAAAATGTGATAGCGTCCAACTCCAACACTGCAGAGTTTCAATCAAACCCACTGCAGTCTGAGACGGTCATTCCGCAACAGAAGTTTCCCTGCTTTACCCTGGCTCCACTCCTCGGCACTGCCTTGACGTCCCCAATAGCAGCTCCCCACTCGCGCCAAAGGGAGTCGGCAAAGACGTACACCCGCCCAGGTACTTCAGGTGGTCCGCAATGGAAATGGGGAGGAGGCTGTTACTGCACTCAGCGTCCTCGGCCGTGGTCTCCGCGGGGCACGCCGTCCCGGACACGTCACTGCAGTTCGCGTAGCTCGTGGAGCCGTCATTGTCGTACCACACCTCGTGGGGGCCATGCTCGAACCCCGAGTAAGCGGGGGGAAGGTGGGGCACGACATCCCGCTTGTGGGTGACGCGGGACGTCTCGTGGCCGCCGCCGCAAAACAATGCGAGAAACCAGTTGGCGAACGCGGCGTTGCCCACACGCGGCTCACCAAACGTGTACAGCTCAATCCTCAG